GCAGCCTCATGCAGTGGCTAACCTTTGGGTCTTTGTCCTACCGCATGTTCAGGAGGAAGACGATGGCGTGCCAGTAAAACGAGCTTCTCGTAATGCATCCAGTTCGTGATCGGAATGTTATGAAACTTATATACAAGAGCTCACGTCAAAGTGACATGTTGCCGAGGCTCCCATGGTGATATTCAACTACTTAGGGTTCACTTGCCTTATGTAGGTCTGTATACAAATTTTACAGAATAGAAACCATGTTCACATCCTAAGGTGTGCTCAAACCATATACACTGGATCGATTAGAAAGTGCTTTAGGATCTTTTGCCAACTCCCGGTGGGAGCTTTACACATGTACCCCTTGCATGGAGATTGTTGCACTTAAAGGGGTTTGCTTTTGCTTAGTGGAAAGTATGCAAGTTTGTACCTGTCGGTGAGTTGGTATTCTCTTGCTTAGGCGACCACTGGAGAGGAGAAAGCCATTGGGAGTTCCAGCTCGGACTCGAAGCACCGGCGCACCAGCGTTGACTCAAAGGCAATGGACATCAGCGTTATAACCAGTAGAAAACTGTTTTTCCCAACAGAGGTTTCGGAGGTTCTGGTTCCCCATTTCCTGTGCGGAAGAGGTTCCACAGATTCTATAGCAGATTGTGTGCCCGAAGTCACACCGTTGCCCTGGGGAAGAAGAATCTGGAATCCCAAGCTTGCTGTTGGAGATTTGTTAGGCTTATTTGGAATATTAATGTATTCAAGCTTGCTAGGTTTTGAGGATTCATAACATTTGTGAAACACAAGTTAAAGATGTTCAAGCTCCACATGTCCTTGTAGGCCAAACAGCGGGTGGCAAGCTCAGACTTGACTTTACACTTTCCCTCACGGGCAAGCTCGTCTTTTTTGGTTCTCTTTGAGTCCTCTCCCTCTTGGTTGCTCTTATTGATGTATTCTGATGTTGAACACCTTAGCACAGTAACTCTCCACAGCATGGTGGCACTTCACAAGCACAATGTGTAAAAATGTTGGTTCAAGGGACGAGCTGCTTTCCATGGAGGAAGACAGTTTCAGTTTCTGTCAAAACATCCATCAGTGAGAAACAAAAAGGCATCATGTGTTGTAGGAATGCACTTGAACCAGCTAGGAGTTTTGCTGGTTGTCATTTGAGGACTCTGCTTTTAGTTGCTCAGTTGATGCTCTGAAGAGTTTTATCAACTTACCCTTCTAGGCTACGCGACCTATGTTTGGCCACACTGAAGAGCTTCAGGCTATTTGAAGTGTCTTTATGCAGTATATCTAGTGGGCAGTTCGAATCTGCCGTTTCCTGGCTCTCATTCTGGCGCACCTTTTCCTGTTGCAGGCAGTGATCGCCCAAGAGATGGAGAATCGTCGGGCTCTGAGGGCGCTGAGGTGTGTCGTCTTTTTCGCCAAGCCGAGCAAATAAAAGAAGTCAATGTTACTAGTAGCGATGCCCTTGTTACGAACGTAGCATCTAGCTACTAGTAATGCCCTTGTTAGTAGGGATGCCCTTGTTACTAGTAGCTTCTTGCTCCTAGTAGTAAGACCAGGAGCCCCTAGTAGCGTCCGATCGCTCCTAGTAGTAAGGCCAGGAGCCCCTAGT